CGCGGCAAAGTGACGCAGAGTAAAAGCACATGCTCAGAATAGGCTTCCCACATTCCTGCTGGGGGGGGGATCCCTCACTCCTAACTGGCCCTTCCCACTGCCAGTCAGCTGGGAGGTGGAAGAAAAATAAAGGCGAAAACGCGGCAGGGACAGCGTCCCAAGACGTTGACGTCACTCCCCGTGCAACTGATAGTGATGTCACCATGTTGCCAGGATTTGGGCACCGTCTCTGCCCTCCCCGTGCTCCCTTTGGCAACAAAAGGCATTAATACCCCCTTCACCATGGTGTCATACTTAGATTCAGGGCTTCTTCCCTGATCTATAGCAGCACAGTAAAGATGGTTAACAACTGGACCTGAGAACTGCAGAGCAAAGGAGAGAAAAGACTGAGTTCCTAAGTGGACAGGAAGGGAAGGAATTATTCCATTGTTTCACCCCCCACACACACAAACTGTCCTCCCAACAGGGCTTTTTTTTGCAGAAAAAGCCCAGCAGGAACTCATTAGCATAATAGGCCACACCCAACAGCAGAAACTCATTAGCATATTAGCCAGTTTGGTGTAGTGGTTAAGTGCGCGGACTCTAATCTGGGAGAACCGGGTTTGATTCCCCACTCCTCCACTTGCTCCTGGCTGGATGACCTTGGGCAAGCCGTAGTTCTGATAAGAGCTGTCTGGGGGGAGATCCCTCACTCCTAACAGGCCCTTCCCACTGCCAGTCAGCTGGGAGGTGGAAGAAGAATAAAGGCGAAAACGGGGCAGGGACAGCGTCCCAAGATGGTGACGTCACTCCCAGTGCAACTGATAGTGATGTCACCACGTTGCCAGGATTTGGGCACCGTCTGTGCCCTCCCCGTGCTCCCTTTGGCAACGAAAGGCATTAATACCCCCTTCACCATGGTGTCCTGCCTCCCAGGGTACAGCTTTTCATCACAAATGTCTACAATGATATCATCTCATGGATGAAAGATATGGGGAATAACTTAGAAATAGAGCAATGGGCTACCATATGGAAAACCGTAAAATACATGAGAGCTATAGCTTATAAGGAAAATATCTATAAAATATGTTCCACAGGTGGTATCGGTCTCCAGATAAAACTGCTAGGTGCTATCCTAATACTTCTAATAGATGTTGGAAATTGAATGTGGGGACCTTTTATCACATGTGGGGGAACTGTAGCAAGATCCAAAAATACTAGAAAATGGTACATAAAATCATTATAGAAATTTTGAATTTAGATGTTTTGCTAACACCGGAAATGTATTTGTTGAATATAATTCCAAAGGGCTATTCAAGACAAGATGAATATTTATTAGTATATATCATAACAGCTGCGCGCATCTTACTGGCAAAAAATTGGAAAACGGAGAAAATACCCTCTAAAGAGGACCTAACACTTAAACTTTTAGATTTGGCACAAATGGACAATTTGAGTTTAACATTGCAGGGTAAAGATAATAAAATACAAAACAAGAGATGGCTAAGGGTATATAATTGGATAAAGCACACGACAGATGGACAATATGTAGAAGATAAAGAGTATATGGATGCACGTAACAGACTTATATGTAATATATGTAATCTATGAAATGTTTGTAACATTTTTGAAAAATATGAAAAATAAACATGTGGAAAAAAACAAATGTCAGTTTAGAACCTCAATTTGTCCTAATACGACAGGGTAGAAAACCTGTGATTCAGAGGCTGGTGACTCATTTCACAGGTGGGCATAGGTTGCCAGATTAAGTGGGTGGTGCACTAGGAAACTGTGGCTAAAAACTCTTCAAAAGCGGGGCATTGTTCCCCAATGCTGGAAAAGAGATGCCTGTGTCCATGCCTACTGACTGGATTACCTCCAATAAGAAAAAGCACTGAGGCTTGGGTTAGGGTTGGGTTGCAGACTACGGGGACAAGCCACGGAAACAGAAGTGATAAAGTGATACATGCTCCTTGGTTTTCAGTTTGAATTCGGAAATTCATTGCTCTAGCCCTACTCCCAGTCTACGATATGGTGAGGGGTGGCTGGCTTTTGATTGGTGGTGCACTCTGTAAACTTGGTGGAATAAGGGCACTGCTGTGCACTACTGGCACGACCCCTATGTTTCCACAGATAAAACACCAAGGATGAGGGACCATGACTTGTCCTAGGCTAGCAGGCGTATGAGTTTAGGTCTCTGAAGTCCATTGGCTGACTAATCACATTGATCTGAGAGGGGAGAGTTTCCCTGGGCGGGCCAGATGAAATGTTTGGAAACAGAAATTCTGCAAGGAATGTCTTCTCTTAATCTTACTTAATACCCACAGAACACCTGTATTGAGTGAAACCACATTTTCCAAAACCTGGCTCAAAATATGGTGACCATGTGAACATGAGAATCAACTGTGACTGCAGACTGAAGAAGAAGAGAGAAGAGAGAAGAGATTGGATTTATACCCCGCCCTTCACTACCCAAAGGAGTCTCAGAGCGGCTTACAAACTCCTTTCCCTTCCCCTCCCCACAACAGACACCCTGTGAGGTAGGCGGGGCTGAGAGAGCTCTTGACAGAAACGGCTCTTTTTCAAGGACAGCTGTGCCAGAGCTATGGCTTGCCCAAGGTCATCCAGCAGGTGCAAGTGGCGGAGTGGGGAATCAAACCCGGTTCTCCCAGATTAGAGGCTGCGCATTTAACCACGACACCAAACTGGCTCTCAGACTGCCGTTTGGCAAGCAGTATGCAGAAGGAAGATGCATCTGTTCGGATCCAATGAAACACACATTGAGTGCAGGCACAGAAGTGAACTTCCTGGCTGAATGCTGGTTACCTTGTGTCTTGCAACTTGGTTGCTGATGCACATGTTTTTGTGAGTTGACATTCTATTGGATAAGTGCCTCTGCATGGTTTGAAGTATGCCATCTTTCTCATACTGGGCAATATCATTCAAAGGGTCCCAGGGCCTTAAACTATCAAAAAGAGGGAAAAAACCATTAAAAGCCCACACATTTATTAGAAGCAACAAATACAAAGCATACCACTTCATTTTGTCAGTCTGTGTGGCAAACAGGAATGTACATGCACAAGCTGGCTCTACTTCCGCCCCACCAAAATGCCTCATCCACAACAAGGAATAAAATAAAATAAATACATGGATCCAACAGATTGGTATCTAACTACTATTTGCTCTTTTCACTGGCACAAAAACCTTGACAGGAATGTCATTATTATGGCTATTTCACGGACAGAGAACTGAAACTGCCAGGTACTGGATTTGTCCAGGATCACAGAGATAGAAGGTCGCCGGCAGTTTCCTGGATCCAAGAAACTGAGATGCTGTGAACAGGTTTTGCATAGCTTCATGTCTAGTTTTTTTGCAACAGGCAGTTACAAAATTAATACCAATTTCTCTTGGCCATTTCCTCTTTCCAGTTTTCTAACACTAAGTCGAGTGTTAGATTTGAGCTATTACATATGTATCTCACTCATCCTTAAAAGGAGCTAAAGGTGGTGCACATGTTTTCCTTTCCCTTATTTTATGCTCCCAACAATCCTGTGAGGTAGTTAGGCTGAAGGTGAGTGAGACTGGCTTAAGACCAGTGAGCTTCATGGCCAAATAATGATCTGAACCCGTTTTTCCTCTAGTCCTAGTCCAACGCTCTATCCGATACACCACACTGTTTTCTCGTAATTAAAGTCACAGGAGGTATCCCATAGAAGTTCCTTGGTCATAAGGCTGAATGATTTATTTATTTATTTATCAATCAGATTTATACCCTGCCCTCCCCGCAAAACAGGCTCAGGGCGGCTTCCATACAAGCATAAATACAGTTAAAAATCATACAATTATTTAAAACACAAGAGATAAAACAAATACAAACACAAAGTGCTGGCGGCAGTTAAAATATTAACTTAGATGACTCATTTTCAAAATGAATTTTCGCTTCTCAGATGTTCTTCTACTCATAATATCTTGTGGCATCGGCTCAATGTTAAAACCGCGAGCCGGGGCTGTACGGCAGCGGCCCCTAATTAAATGCCTGGCGGAAGAGCTCCGTCTTGCAGGCCCTGCGGAACTGTGAGAGATCCCGCAGGGCCCTGACCTCCTCTGGGAGCTCGTTCCACCAGGTAGGGGCCGCCACTGAAAAGGCCCCGGCCCTGGTAGTAGCTAGCCTGGCCTCCCTCAAGCCAGGGAGGGTCAACCGATTTTGAGACCTGGACCATAGTGCTCTCTAGGGTACATACGGGGAAAGGCGGTCCCGTAGGTATGTCGGACCCCGGCCATATGATACTTGCTAAGACTTGCATTTTAAAACAGCAAAGGCAAGTACAACATGATTACACTATGGGAAGGATGTATGGTAATCGAGACTACCATGTATTATGGTCCAAGCATAATATGACAGAGAATCAGGCTTAGTGTGTGCCATATACCACACGTCTTCCAAGAAGCAATTCTTGTGAACAATCCCAGGCCTATCTGCACTATGAACTGATACTAGCTTTATATTAATGTAATTGATATGACTTCTCCAAAAACCATCCTGATGCTGTTTCGAGTTCCCTCACTTAACTACCATTTCCAGCCTTCCCTGGAGTCTATTAAACCAGTTTAAGGTGTTTTCCACACAGGGACAGGCATGTATAGTTTCCCTATTGCTGCTGTAGCCGCCAGTACAGTACAGCACAGCAGCAAGGGGGCTTCCATATGTCAAGTTTCTCCATAGTTTTCACTGCCCCAGTTCCCTGGCAATAGCCATTCCCCCAGCACTATCACAAGGGCTTTTGTAACTTTACAAGAAGAAAAAGAAGAAAAAGAAGAGATTGGATTTATACCCCGCCCTTTACTACCCAAAGGAGTCTCAGAGCGGCTTACAAACTAGTGGAGAAGTGGGGAATCAAACCCGGTTCTCCCAGATTAGAGTCCGCCCACTTAACCGCTACATCAAACTGGCTCTCAATGTTTATAACACGATGTGTAACAAAGTTCTCTGAATCCCCATCTTCCATGAAAAAAGTACACTGCTTGTCCCTTTTTGTTGCAGAGACAGACCATTCCCATGATATCTCTACAACAAAAAGGTGCAGGAGGCATATTTTTTAAAAAAATCAAAACTGGGAAATCACAGATCCTGTGACACATATTGTTAGCATGTTATCCAGTTGCTGATTTAAAAAAAAAAAAAAAAAGGCCCGGCCATATGGGCAGGGCTGAGAAATGGACTGGATGGGCCATTGGCCTGAGCCAACATTGGCTTCTCTTGTGTTCTTATGTGGCTGTAGGCAAAGCAAGTCATTTAAAAACATCCATTTAGTTTAGCCCAGGATCTCAAGCATGGTTCCCATGGGTGCCATGACACCCATGGACACCTTTCCTGGTGCTCACAAAGTGTTTTTAGAAAGTGGGGCTTTTGCCTAGCAGACTTCTAACTGGCCACTGGAGATCTGATTTTTAAATAGTTGATATCGGCAGTGGCTGCCTCCACAGTACAACTCCACAGTATGACTGAAGATAAACTGCGTATGCAATTTTTTTAAAAAAAACAATATGTCCAAGTGGTTAAGACGGTGAACTGCAGGCTGTGGAAGGTCGGTAGTTCAGCAGTTCGAGACCCGAGTGTGCCGCATGACGGAGTGAGCTCCTGTCTCTAGTTCCAGCTCCTGCCAACCTAGTAGTTCAAAAGCAAGAAATTGCAAGTAGATAAATAGGTACGACTTCAGTGGGAAGGTAACAGCGTTCCGTGCGCCTTGGTGTTTAGTCATGCCGGCCACATGACCACGGAAACATCTTTGGACAGCGCTGGCTCTTTGGCTTTGAAACGGAGACGAGCACCGCAACCCTAGAGTCGGATTCGACTGGCTTTCGAGCAAGGGAACCTTTACCTTTTACCATTTTAAAAGGCATTCTGTTAAACACAGCTTCCGTTGAAATACTGAATTACTATCAGAGTTATGCATGATTTTGTGGCTGCACACACCATCCAGCATCAGAATTCCAAAGGGGCCCAAAGGCCCCCAAAGGCTGGGGACCCCGGGTTTAGTTCTAAGCAGTAATATAGTTTAGACTGACCATCCGTCCAAACATTTTTGCCATCCATCAGCCAGTCAGAGCTGTTTCCTAATTTCCATCAACTCCTCCATCCCTTCAAGTTCTGAAGAGGTTCTGGAGGAAAAAAAGCCCGCAGGAGTTCCTTTCTGCTGAACTGAAGCTTTCAAGGTAGGGCCGGCAATGATCTGGCAGGCAACAACGCATCTGTGATGTCCTGTTCCTACTGAACTGCTGTGTAAAAACGGGAAGGGGAGGCCTCCAGATACCTGGCTGAGTTACCAGAATCGCTTTCACCTCCTCGACCCTCTGAAGGGCTCTGCTTAGCTTACCTCTCCGATTCAAATTCGGTTTGCTCTTCAAACAGCACAATGTGACGCTTCAGCCTCTGCTTCCGGACTTCACTGGTTGGGTTCCAGAATGTCTCCGTGCAGCCATTTTTCAGGTCATTTATATATACCTCCCCATCCTGAAAAAAATATATATATAAGATTTAGAGTTGGCAGAAAACATCAGGAGATATGTTCACTAGTTGGCATGAAACAAATTCCCCACATAGTCTTTTGACACATCACCCCCTCCCTCCTCCTCCTCTCCCATCCCTTTATTGTCGCCTTCCGTGATAAACTTTAGAGTCAAACTCATTGGACCAGTGAGTTCTCTTTTCTGTCTGTGTTACTCTGTATGCTGCCAGGCGCTTTAAAGACTATACAATCAGTTTCACAGTACCATCAGCTGCAATATTATTTGTATAGCATTGTATAGTATTTGTACAGCATTTTACAGGACCATTTACAGGAGCTGCGGTGGCTCACTGGTTAAGACGCTGAACTGCAGGCTGGAAGGTCGGTAGTTCAGCAGTTCGAGACCCGAGTGTGCCGCATGACGGAGTGAGCTCCTGTCTCTAGTTCCAGCTCCTGCCACCCTAGCAGTTCAAAAGCAATTCACTGGTTAAGACGCTGAACTGCAGGCTGGAAGGTTGGTAGTTCAGCAGTTCGAGAGCCAAGTGCCGCATGATTGAGTGAGCTCCCGTCTCTAGTTCCAGCTCCTGCCAACCTAGTAGTTCAAAAGCAAGAAATTGCAAATAGATCAATAGGTACCACCTTGGTAGGAAGGTAACAGCATTCAGTCATACCGGCCACATGACCACAGAAACGTCGTCGGACAGCGCTGGCTCTTCGGCTTGGAAATGGAGATGAGCACCGCACCTCTAGAGTCGGATTCCACTGGCTTTCGAGCAAGGGAAACCTTTACCTGTAGCATTTTGCACTGCATCGTTCCAATTTTAGTACATGTGCTGCCGAAGTGAGCACACATTTTACACTGACCACTGCCCCAAAGCCAATCTATAAAATGCTTGAGAGCAGCAAATGCTGGTTACATT